GCCGGATAAATTTGAATCCGAATTTTTATTTATTCCGTTAGGCCTACCGTTCACACTAGTCCGGGCGAATCCGGAACAATTCTTCACCGAAAACGATTTTTTTYGAATACAGTCTCCAGAGTGGAACAATTTGAAAAATCCCGGCTAGCYGTATTAGTGTGGACGGAAAACATTTYGCATCCGAAACTTTTCGAATGCGWTGACGTCATGATYGTCATTGGAACATGATGGGAAGGCTAAAAATTCACCACAGGCTCAATTTCAGCTTCSATGCACATGCTCATAATGTGCAATAAAGCATTTTTGCYGCCTCTGATTGGACTAGTGTGGACGSGAAACATTTTATCCGTTTTCATGTGTGGATGGGAAACTTTTTTTGGTTTTGGTGTGAAAGTTGCGGATTCAAATTTATCTGGCATAGTGTGGACGGGGCCTTACAGTATAAATTATAGATTGATTATCATAAGATTGAGTTCTTTGAATAAGCAAAATCTTCAGATATTTCATCTTTATTCACTGAAATAGTTTTTAATACTAACTCAAAATTCTTATTTTTTTAATATTATCAAAATGAATGAATGATTTTACTCACCGTAAGAATTGTTGTAGTAACCAAATTACTAAAAAGGGTACTGCCCATTTTGACAGCAGTTTTTTGGGKTTTTTTTTACGATGATTATCGATGATTACGATGATATGCAGGTCCACATCAGTTATATAGCTGCCAGTTTTTAGACCTGCTGAAACAAATAAAGTTGTATGTATGTATCGCTATCTTCGACTCCTGTGATAAATCAAATGTATATTAACACATATCATGTCAATATTTTATAAATTTTTAGGTTTAGCATAAATTTTATAAAAAAACTCAATTCCGGCATAACGAAGCTGCGTTTAAATTTCATGCCATGGCTTACGATAATACAGTATTTGCGTCTTTTCCTCGACTCTTAGCTTTTCGAAAAAGTACCTTAAACTTTAAACATCATATTAACCAAAAAGCCGCTCATTGATACGAGGATTCGAGATAATCTTCTCACCTTATTCTATGCGGGAATTTCACCAAATCTTTCGCCTATCGTCTTCTGATTACAGTTTACACGTTTCTGTTAAGGATTAGACTAACAAAATGTATAAAGATCGCGTGTAGAAGAGCCAAAGAAACATGAACAAAGAAACAATTTTCCTGCGTCAAGAAAATATGTACGCAGACCGACATGCAGCGCAACCCAACAAACCAACCACAGACAGCCCAAACAAGGTTCCTGTGTATGGTTTATAAGGGAATGTATGGNGACTGCGTCGGTGTTTCTGAATAAAACAGTAGGAACTTGTAGATAAATTGAATCACCGTAAAGAGATTAATGGGAACTGCCGCTTCGGAACTTATATAGTCCTTCGTCGGAGTAAGCTAAAGCGTCAGCTAAATCGTCTTCCTATAATTTACAGTGACTTTGTTTTGTTTGTTATACCTTTAAACYTTTGCTTTAAAGTTTAGATTTAAGTAACCTTAGAAGATCGCGTGTAAGAGAGCCAAACAAACGGGAATATCCCTATATTTTTCAACACTTGCCTGACGCGAATATTGCCAAGGAAAGAAGGAACGAAAATGATTGAGTAAGCAGTTTTTATTCTCTTGTGCAATCTCGTACCCAGAGCCTGCRTTTCTTCTGGCCTGCGGCGAAGAAGGGCTCTGGCATTCTTGGACCTCCTTCCTCCTCCTCCTCCTTCCCTTATGGTTCTAGGTATTATTTAGTCTCCCCCACAGCYGCTGTCACTGTCGTCACGCGACGCTTTCTCAGGGGAAAGCGTTGCGTGACGACACTGGAAGCGGCTGTGGGTGAGACTAGTATAGGTATTATAAGACTGGAAAATACTTTTACTTTGAAATCATCATTGCAATAAAATCTCAATATTTACCTCATATGGATATATATTTTTGYRGATAACGAAGGCTACTCATTAGATTTCAGCCGTCGATAAGATCGTCGATAGCACGTCATCTTTCTCAGGGAGGGTCTGCTTATGAGCTTTTTTACGGCAAATACAAATTGTTTACAGTTATCGTGGAACTTGAAATCTTCATTTTGTGAAAGTTGAATATCTCTAGCCATTGCTGTACGTGTTTTTTCTCCGTTGATTATGGCGAGGGAAGAAGAATACCAGCATTGCTCGTGACCGAAGGAAAAGAGTATATGCGGAAGTAAGGGAATCTTGACCTTCTTGGAAAATGTCAATCTCGTACCCAGATCCCACGTGCCTCTTGGTCAGCACCGCCAAACGAGAGGCTGTGGCTGTAACACAGGTATCCCAAGCTCAATTTAGCATCCGGTATCCGGTCCATGAATCTCAGACCGGAAGTTTTAACTGCGCATGCCTAAATCGCAGGCTAATCTTCAATCTCGTACCCAGAGCCTGCGTTTCTTCTGGCCTGCGGCGAAGAACGAGGGCTCTGGCATAATCCATTTTTTGAGACCAGGATTTCTTGGACTTCCGGTATAAGAGCGTATGCGTTAAAAGACTTGCCAAAAATTTAAAAAAAATGTTCCCGATTTCTAATTCTTATGTTGAACGGAAGTAAACACAGAACTCTGTTTGAAAGCAGGTTTGAAAGCATGATTTTCATCAATCTCGTACCCAGAGCCTGCGTTTCTTTCGGCCTGCRGCGAAAAACGAGGGCTCTGGCATAATCCATTTTTGGCGCATGCGCAGCTTTCCGGAAGTGAAACATAATCAGTATTTCTTAATGGTGGAGGAAAAAATCCTTGAAACGGGCTGAATTCAAAAAATAACCACGCAGAGCGAAAGAGGGGCTATTTCTCAGTGATCGGGTAAAATTTCGAGGCTTTATTTCACGTTTCAATGATTTTATTGAAATTTTTGATGAATCTCCATACATTTCCTTATAACAGGACACCACAGAAACTAAGCTTGGGCTACCTGTGATTAAAATGAACCATTAGAGTCTATATGGAACTTAAGGTGAATTTGATTATTCATATTAACTCTGGACGGTTGAATATTACTGACGTAAGGAGCATCGCGCGGTCGCCTTGTTGTTGGTATGGTACGAACAGAGTCAAGTACGGAACGGCCGTTAACAGGGCTGTCAACTCTCCCGGATAAATCGGGAGTCTCCAGATTTTGGACCGTATCTCACGGTCTCCAGATTAGAGTCTCAAATCTCCCGGATAATCCCCGAAGCTGACCATTTCTTGTAAGACTCGACTTTCACMACMATAAAATTCCAATTATTTTGTGTTGTTTGTGTTATTTTAMATCGCTAACAAAATCAAAACGTTCCTCAWAAASTGTTCTTGCAAGCAGGCCATTGTAATATAAGCRATAATCTGATTGGTCARAAATAAACCAATCACATCAAATGTTACAAAGCGAAAGACGTCTTTTCGCGTGTTTTTTGAAGCGCTGTGACGTCATGTCCCTTCCCTATCAATTCTCCAGATTTGAATATCTCGGGGGTTGACTAATGATTCATAAAAATACTTAGTAATGTGATTTGATTTACTTATATACTTTACCTTTTAAAAAGAAACAATACTTTTTAATTCTGCCATTCTCCTTCTTGTAGCATCCAATCACATAGCTTTCATAGATTGATGAACGAATCAGTAGAACACCCTGCTCATCCAATTTGGCAGATTCCTCTTTAAACCCACAAAACTTTAATAAATTTTTTGTTTCCACTTTTTTGATTCCATAAAAGAAACCCTTACTTTGTAAAATTTGACTTGAATTGTTGAATAAGAGGAGGTCTGAGCTCCATTTTTTTAAAAATGAAGATTCTTGGGAACTTTTCTCTGGTAAAGGAATGACAAAATAGTTATTACTGTGATACTTTTTAAAAATTCCGCCACTGTTATTCTCATCTACTGAAAACTCTTTTCCTTGTTCCTTTCCATATCGGTGAAGTTTGACCACAATCTTTGTGCTTTTTTCATCCATTTGTTTGGGTCTGCATGAGCAGAACCATGGCACAAATATAAAATACTTCACTTCCTTATAACTTTTGTTGTCCAATTGAAGAACATTTCTAAGGCTTTTGTCTTTCATTGATAGATGTATGGCACAACCAACCAGCTCTGCTATTAGCTCTTCACTTCCATTTTTCAGTTCAACTTTTGCTATTCCTTGGGTATCATCTGGTTGCTTTACACTTTTAGTTTCTCCATAGCTCGGCATATTGAATAAATCAATCTTCAGATGGGTATACAAAACAAGAATACAAATAAATTTACATTGAGGTTATATCTTCTATCTTTTATGGGATGGTTTGAGGCAACCAGCCAGTGGGGTTATCTTTAGCTTGGGCATAATATTTCATTCCAATCTCCGACCACACGTCATTCCCCTGAGTATCATTCCTTTGTTAAATAGTTGAGAAGACATGTGAATATAAATAAATATCAAGCAAAGAATCTTATTCTCAAGACAATGGCATGTGGTCTGAAATGGGAAAACATTACTCTCAAAGCAGAGAAAAGCTCTCAAAGTAAAGAAAGTAGTTATTATAAGAGGTCAAAAATTCCATAGTTTAATTCTGTTAACCCTCATTCGATAATACGACAACCCCCGGCCCCCTCCCTCCATATTTTCCAAAGATATTTGCATCCCATTCCCTGTCAATAAGGGCAAGTACATTTTTTTATTGGAGTGGGGGGAGGGGTGGTTGACTACACTATTTTATTGGATGGAGAGTAAATTCTCGTGCGATTTGTCTGGCGTATCCCTTGCTGTGTCACGACCGTGTTCGTGCCGTGAACTTTTCACAGTCATACGAAAACTGCACTATGTCTTAAGTCGAGGATAAGTAGAAAGAAAGAAAGAATTCAAAGTTATTTTTCAAGAAAAAAGAATAACTTAAACGAGAGAGACGTCTCTTATATTCTTAGTTTTGAACAAGACAAGAATGTTGTCTTTCTCTGTGTCTTTCTGCCTCTAACCCGCTCTAAGGAATTATAAAGCTTGTATTAAAGACTTCGAGTCTCGCCTTTCCCCGAAATCAATATTATTGAGAAAAGAAGCCGGCAATTTCCCTCTAGATTATTTAAAGGCTTACCTTCTTTATGCTTTATTAATTGCAAGAAAGAATATTTAGTTTTCCAATAATTATTGTCTGTGAAGATGCGAAGGATAGTAGTCGGTTTCCTAGAATTTTAAGAATATCTACATACATACAGGTAACCCAACAATAACTTTTGTGCTTATAAGTTAAGTGACGTATTTCCGGGCACAAAAACCTCTTAATCCAAGCCAAAATATCCTCTACTTTCATCAGTAATAATTGTGAGGAAATTGTGAACCAATTTCCAAGTAAAAAGTACGAGAATTATTCTTTAAATAACTGGTTTTTAATTTGGTGGCCAGAACAGGAACTTTAGTGCTGGGATTTGCATTTTTTTCATTCTCATTTTTTAAATTTATTATCTTTAAGATATTTTCAGATTTCTCATTTACTTCGATAATAGAAGAGCTGCTTGCATCTGAACACATAAATGAGAATGGGAGAAAAGCAGAGAAAAAGACTTCTATAACTAGACCCTAGCTACCTAAACTACCACACCAACACTACTCACACTAGCTCTATCATAGAGGTGTTTGTATCCTACCACGCCAATACTACCCACAAATATCTTTGCTCTTTCACATAGCCAGTGGAGCCGACCGGATTGGGAGATGTTTGCATCCCCCCC